TAAGTATTGGGGTTTGATCGTATTGTATTCTATTTATTTCACAGATCTCCCTGTACGATCTAAAAGTGGACCATATAACTTGCATAAGGAGCCTCATAAAATGTACGTCGAAAAGCAGAACAGAAGTTGAATTCCACTCAGGATTTTCGCAAGAGGACACCGATTTGTTCTTGAAACATGTTCCTGTAAAATCACAAAGATATGACACTGAACAACCTTATATACATTACTTAAGAGACAGTTACTGGCATAAGAGAAATTATGATGTAACTACTATACACTTTAGGTTCTACTTCTACGAATTAGCCGAAATAGAAATAATGTTCTACGGTATGTCCAAAGACAGTCCAAGACCGAAACCTACACGCTATCCAACTACTACTACTAAAAGTAAGTATCAACATACCGTATCCTTCGTATAATGAATCCACACGTGATCTTACGTCAAAATGCTGTTACCATATGAAAGTCATCAAAATAACACGAACGACAACAAAAAAAAAACAATCTAGAAGACTAAATCAGGGCCCCAAGTCCGCTAATTTTAAATCATCCCAGCAACCGTAGCATGGCAGAATATGTGTGATAAACCTCCCCGTGAAAATATTTAATTCAGTTGATAAAAGTTTGCTTATTTGGTAATGAAGTATTGTTATACATTTTGAGGAACAAGGACAACGATGTGAAATTGCGATTATAGGTATCTTTGTCGTCGTTTGTTTAATCATCGCCGCGAAAACCAAGCAAAAAATGTCTTTTCATTTCGTTTATCGCGCTCAATTTTTACGTTGATAAAATGACTGCAAATATTTTAAAATCATCTGTAACCTTGCAGCCATGTTTGGTATTCTGTTAATCTTTTGCAGTCATTGGTCGCCGAAGCTCCCAATGATGCTCGCCATGGTCGCTATTGTGATAAAATTTTTAAATCCGGTTTATCACTCGAATTTGACAGCTAAATGTGGATATAATTAATAGCTTTATCGAGGCGGCGTACTACGGGGGCAGTTGTGTGTCGATAGAGTATCAATGGCAGGATTTTGTACGTTTAATGTTCTGCTAAAAGTACGATTGGTGGGTTGTCAGTGACTAGCCAACGAGCTACTACTCAACTGCAATTGCACTTTTTTGGTATTCTGCTCTTCAATGGCGAGTCGGTGACACGTCGATAGCTTAGTGTATTAATTTATAAATATCGTACTTGAAGACCAAAGTCCTGATTAAATGGCATAACTATTAAGATATGCACAGTAATTGCCATGGTAGTTTTAGTAAGGCAAAATCGATCGTTAGTGATTGAATGAACGAATGCCATCACTGCCATTTCACTGACACTCTATTGATACCCAACATAGCAGAATAACAAATATTATCATAATTGCAATGTAATCGCAATAGAATCCTCAAGGTTTCAAGAAGATTAGCAGAATTGGGCCTCAGATCAGTCAGCCGTGACCATGGGACCTGTAAAGGGCCCGAAACGTTAGTTTAGTTGAATCCGAAAAAAAAAATTCATTTCAAATCTAGGAACTCGATATAAATATGAAACAAATTATGTATATGGGCATTTCTCCAAAGTCGTAATTTTCTGTGTCCGTGCACTAAACTCAAACACTTAAAGTATATAATATAGGTCGAAAGCTAACTGGAGAGCACAAAATCTTCTCAATAAACCTTTCGGAGCTAATGGAAAAAAAATCCGAAATGCCTAAAACTTGACAACAGTGGCGTGGCCCGAATGCAGAATCCAATACAAAGTCAGTCAAAGTATCATTTTTCTCAAAATTGAAACCGTATATCAATATTAGTTCACATATAATAAATTAGATGACAGTACTTTTAATCTGAATTTCACAATAAAACCAGACAATAGTTTTATCACAATACCAAGAATGCTGCGTGTCCCCAGGCTTAAGCGGGAATTCGGTGGTCGTTACTAATCACGCTACACGTTCGAAACTACTAAATTCAAGGTTTTTATTGCATTTTTCGTAATATTTTATTGGTATAAAAAAGCCATAATTTTTGTAAATTATGGCTTTTGTTAAATTATTCTGATTTCGGTGGTAGCTGAATTCGGTGGATCAAATATGTCATTAACTGTTAAGAATCTAGTTGCCCAAATAACGGAAACTTATGTAAGTTTGAGTTCTTTTTCCTTCCCGCTCAATGCTTTTCCTGAAATTAAGAAAAAAAATCGACCACTGAAGTCGGAGAATTTTGTCCTTCTAGGAGAAATGCCCATATCTCTCCTATTAAAACATAAAAACTTATTGACTTATTTCTTTCATAGAATCTTTAAACCTCGCTTCTTACAGCAAAGTTGCGAAGTTACGTCACACGAAATTTGCGAAGTTACGAAAGCCTAAAACGAATAACCAAACGTCTTTTTTCCATGAAAACAAAATAATGAAGTTTCCAAAAAACTTGTAAATTGCAGTAAACGAGGCTATTTGTAGTTTTAACTAAGCTGCGTTAAAATGAATTACTGAAAAATAAACACAAAATATAGCGACAAAATTAATCATATTTAGTAAACAATCAAGTGCTATTTGAAATTACATTAATTAATTCCATTAATTCTATGAAAAAATATTGTACTTCCGTTATTGTCTCGAGGTCAACCTTTTAAATTGCCCCATCTCCAAAAAGCACCCTTTATTGTTTCAAAATAATGATCATTGTAATCATGATCAATGATCATTTCTTTTTCAGCAACCAAACGTAGAATAACATGGCATTGGCGAAGAAGTTACACCAAACATTACAGATGGAATACGCCTCCTTGGCACGGCGGCCACTTCATTGGAATAACGAGATATGCCTGGAAAAGACGATAGGCCTTTTTCTCCCAAGCGCGATGTCACACGATGCATTGCGTCGGCATTGTGTTGTGAAGCTAGAGCGATAACTCTGCATTATACTACATATAAATTAGAACTCCATCTTGTACAACAAGGGGCCTAAAAATTTCCAATATGGCGAATCCAAGATGACCGCCATACAAAATTGAATTTGCTGAATCTCTGCAACTATCAATGATGTACGACTTACTCCTATTTAATATTAATATGACAATGCAATCAATGCATTTGATAATTATGACAGCAATCTATATTTCAATTGTCAGTACATTTGTACGGCCTGTATCTTTACAGCAGGAGTGGAGACAAAACGATTCACAAATCCTAATAGTTCTACCCATGTTACGTAGTGGGGACGTAAGTACTATCAAAATCCTACTTAACCGACTAGTGCAACCAAGAGTGGAACCAAAAGTCCGAAAGGCAATAAGCGGCGTTACGTTGCGAAACCGCTAAGCCGTGGTTCGTGGTAATTTTAGTTAGATAATTTTTAATGGGTTAAAATCCTTCAGCTCGCCTTTTCATCTGGTGGTCAAGGCCATTTACAGACAATTGCAAAATGTCCTTTTTTATAAAATCAAGTGACGGGACGCACCCTGAGACATAAGTTGACAAGTCGCATGTGCCTGTAATTTCGCCGGCTCCCTTACACCTTCAAAACCGGAACGCAGTAATGCTAACATTACTGCTTGGCGGCAGAAATATGTAAGGTAGCAGTACTTCCCTGGACGAACTCTTTCACAAGGAGCTTAACTGCTGCTCAACTCCTTCCCGAAAACAAGCGACACTCTAAACTCTAACAGTACCTACACAACTAAGTGCTAGAAACTAGAGTGTATTATAGGCATTTAGTACACGAACGCGTAACGTCATCGGCCACTTCGTCATCTTATTAACTCGGAATCGTCTTGATGCGATAGTGTTTTACCACACTTGTCGCATAAAGGGTGATTCACGTTACACCGTGCCGTGTCCGGGCCGTCACCGTGCCGTGTCGTTTGGTTTTTTTGTTATTTGCCATTTTTCTCTTGAATGATAAGGTTGTGTTATATGATGCAATTAAAATTTTAATTCTAATGACCAAGCGTCAGATGTACACGTTTATATTATTTTACAATTAAAAATACTAAGCGTAGCAATGTGATTACATAAGACTTAAAATTTCCTGGTATAATAATACACTTTACATATTAATCATAATTGTTTTATTTTCTTTTTTCTCATGAAAAATTCTAGACTATAGACTTTTAATCATATCCTAAAATTACAACCATTCTCAGTTTTTACTTTTAACTTCAACCTCAGTCATCCTTATTTCGTTAAACGACTTTAAAAAAAGGAGGTTCTGAATTCGACTGTTTATTTTTGCGTGTATGATATGCGGTTACTCCGGCTGATCCATTTATGAACCGATATTGATGATTATTTTTTGTTGGAAAGAGGGTGTCTGTATTGGTCCCATTTAAATATGAAAAAAATATTTCACCTCTAAGGGTGGTAAACTAGGGGATGAAACCGGTTTCGTGCACTTTCCGGTAACCGATTGTTAACTTTTTAGCTTCAGTTTGTATGTATCTATCGGATCCTTTAGGGTTTTGAACTGAGTCTTCAGACATCGCTTGATCAGCAGATCGTACAGTGAGATTACGTTAAATAGTAACACTGTATATTTTAATTACTATGAAATCGAATAACAACTTGTACTTTCTATTAATTTTAACGACCAAAATAGGTACTAGGCGAAGGCATTGTGTGTCGAGGTTCACCGGCAGAGGGAGCGCGCGATACACTCTGTAACCTACAGGTGGCGACTCTGTCTCCAGTTTTTCGTCCATGCTCATGACCGTTTCCGACATATACATATTAACAAAGTTTGAGTCGGTTTTGAGTCTTTTTTTAAAGAAAATTACCTTTTTGGCGCTAGATTTAATTATTCGTACAGGATAAAGGTAAAAAGTAAATTGGTAGCAGTCTTAAACTTCTTCAACATTTGTAATATTGGGTTTATTGAACACCACGATGTTTTACAGCCATGATATTCATTTTATTTTGTGAAAATACTTCACTAGTTAGTTTTAAATATTAATACAAAGATCGAACACTTAGAAAAAAATCCTTCGATCTGACAGGACTCTAACCTTCGTCTGTAATGCCAATCTAGGGCAACCGGTCTACCTAAGTTACAGATCGAGTCAAGATGGAAGAAGGTCTGCACCTTACAAATTTCTCTATGCGTTTTGTTACAGAGCTTTGTTTTGTAGCGCCATTTATGGGAAATCTATGTAAGTTTTTATCCACTCAGCCAGGTACCTTTACGGCTACCAGAGGTTGACAAGAGATGTCGCTTTTTTAATTACAACGTTGAACTACTATGATATTTTTTGTGAAATTACTCCACCTGCGCCTCGAACCTGCGAATGTAATACCAATCTAGGGCAACTTTAACATTCACCTAAATGTATCACAGCTATCTCCCTGTGTGAAATTGACTATTAAAAATGTCGTCCTTAAAAAAAAGATCATCATCTCCGAGCGTGGAGAACGATTCCATCCATAATGTATATTGGGTGATATCTATAAAACGCCCAGGGTAGCTACAATTGGGACCGCTTATACTCAAGCCTACCTGGAAAATAATAAAACTTGAAAAATAGGTACATTTTTTATGAGTTTTAAACACGTAACAAGATATAAAAGTAAGTTACAAAACAGTTTTCTGGCAAAAACTAAAAAAAAACTAAACTTTTTTCATATACTGCTGACACAAGATGGTGGAAAAAACAAGAAATCCATATTGTGGCGCCTAAAAAGGGACTCAACATACACTCTACCGTGTCAACTTATAATAGACAATAATCTCTTCATTGGCAACACTGCCCACTGTTCAAGATACCGCATATTTTTATTTCTTACCAGTACAATATTAAGTTTATTGAACATCACGATGTTCCACTAGTTTGTTATAAGTATTAATAACAAGTTAGTGAACACTAAGAAAAATTTCTTCAATTAGGCTGGATTCCACCAGCGCCTTTCGTATACCATGCCTGACGCTCTCCTAACTGAGCTACCGAAGAAACCAGAAGATCTTACGAATTTTCCTATGTCCTTATTGAAGATCTTTTTTAAAGTTTTTTTACTGTAGCGCCATCTGTATCTGTAGTAATTTTTTTCTTACCAGTAACCATAGATAATAGATATTTACCAATATCCAATATCCACTGGCATTAGAAGCCATTGCCATACCATTCTCCCAGGTGCAATTTTTTGGCGGATCTACACTAAACGCGCAATGGTAATCTACTGGTTTTTCCCTCATGTCTGCTGGATCATTCGCCTGAAATATTTATAATAGCAAAGATTTTAGACACGATTTCTGTTTTACAATATCAAGTGACGGGACCAAGTGACAAGCTTGTCCATAGCAGTTACAGTGCCATTCAAACCTGTAAATCGAAAGGTCTAAAAGGCCTTCTCAATCAATTTGTCACAGCGCCCGTCACCCTGAGACATAAGTTAACAAATTCCATGCATCTATGGGGTGCACGATAGGAGCCTAGCATATTCCTTATGCTAATTAGTAAATCCTTTCACTACGACAGCAAACATGTGACATTCTGGGCTACAAGTCTATGCTATCGATACGATAAGTAGTCCCATGTGCCTGTAATTTCCCCGGCACCCTTACCCTTCGGCGGACGCAGTAATTTTCACATTATTGCTTGGAGGCAATAATAGGTAAGGTATACAAACTCCTTCACAAGGAGATGCTACTAATCTGACAAATACAGACTTAAAAATATAACATGCAAACACATACGGAACAGTAAAAAATCTAACTATAATGCAAGACTTTAAGATTTTGTCAAAGGCTTGTTTAGGAAATGGTTGGTTTAGTATGGGTTCCCTACTTGAGAACGAATGCTGTTTGATCTAACATTAATTGCGCGAAAACGTTTGCTCGATGGTCCATTTGACCTATGAATCGTGAGCTGTAAGGTTTGTTCTGTAAGGCATCAAAATCTTGAAAGGACATTTGCTCTAACGATCAACAGCCAAAAAAGTCATTTCTCGAAAAAGGAGACGGAGCCTCTTGTTCACACCTTGAAATATAATAAAAGATACAAAATACGACACATAACTAAATTTTTCGAGAAATCACAGTTTTGGTGATTGATCGTTAGAGTAAATGTCCTTTCGAGATTTTGATGCATCGATGTGGCAAACCTTAGAGCTCACGATTCATAGGTCAAATGGACAATCGAGCAAACGTTTTCAAGCTATTAATATTAGTTCAAACGGCATTCGATCTCAAGTAGGCAACCCGTTCATAGTATTAAATGTGTCACATAAAATTATAGGATTTTTTAAAGCCATTTACATATTTTTTTGCAGCTTATGAATTCTCAAAAGAAATCTTGTCCCAAATAGCCCAATTTATGCGGTGGGACGAAATATCTTACCAGGAGTCTTTGATAAAACTCATCACATATCGTTCGATCCAAGTACTGCAGCTTGAAAAAGATTTTTTCCAGTAATTCGTTTTCTGAAAATGTCAAAAGCTATTTTCATATTTTTTTCTTTGCAGCTTTATAAATTGTCCCCTTGTCTGATTTTTGGCGTTATTAGACCATTATGTGGGTTATGAACCGATAATGATTTTAGGAATGGTGCAACAGTACTGAATGTACAAGTAACCACACTTTAAGGTATGGAAATAATACATGACATCACTTTTGGGTACAGCATTATAATATGTAATGTAGAATAAAATCTCTTTCGGACCATGATCCATAGTAATTCCATCCATCTTAATTCTAGTGAAATGCCAATAAAATATTTACTAAGCATACCATCAGTAAATCCGATTGCATAGAGCTCGCCGTTACTGCTAAATGAGTCAAAAGGCCAACAAACCGGAGGCAGTCGTACAGCCCCTTGACAAAATAAAGTAAAATACAAGTACCGAACTACATAAAAGAAGTGGTTGTACCAATTTTGAACCAAGTTAGCCCAAAATCGCTCAATATTTTTATTTATTAGACAACATAACATACGTTGCTCTGATCCCAAGTAGCTAAAGTACTTATGCTATGGAAATCGGAAACATCAAAGATACCATAAACACCCAGATCCGAGACAATATAGAAAAGTTAGTTTCTACATTGACATGGCCGGAGATTGAACCCGGGACCTCAGAGATAGCGACACCATGAAAACCGGTGTGCAGGCCACTCGATCATGAAGGTGGTCAATTCAACATTAATTAAGGACTTACAATGCCATGGCATTTAGTAATGACCAAACAAACAAACTAATAGATAGGGAAGCCCTTTTTCTGTTTCGATATTTCTTTTACTGCGTGTTAATAAGTACACAAGTAACAGTCTTCACAAGGAATAGTTACTAAAACTTTTAGATATCCCAAATTAAACCCTGTACGAATGTACGAAC